AGGAAGGAAGGAAGGAAGGAAGGAAGGAAGGAAAGCAGAATTACAGAATAACAGAATTGGAAGGCCTTTTCATCCAACCCCCCGCTCAGGCAGGAGACCCCACACCATTTCAGACAGATGGTTGTCCTGGCTTCATACAACCTATTTTGTAATTCCTTCGCAGGAAATCACAACTGTCTTCTACAGTTTCCACAGAAGCGCTTAGTAACTAAGTCTGGCCATGTTCCCAAATTATCCCGATTGTTTATCTCTTCGTTATGACAAATCTCTTGGCTCACCCATCTTCCGTAAACATTTCCCAGGCGTTGCTCCAGTGGGCAACTTTCTTAAAACAAAAATCATTCAAGGATTGGCAGCCCCAAGAAAGACATGATTGCTCTTCCCTGCTCTGCTGAGTGAAACCAGATCCTTCTGATTTATTTTTGTAAGAATGTTTGAGTAGAAGGAACACTGAGAAACAAGGACCTGAGGTCAGGCCTGTGGTCTCTGGAGTTACTCCGGGAGTTGCCCATCTTCAAATGGCCAAGATTGAGAAAGAAGAAATCGAAATCAAATCCCACTTCTACCACCAAGCAGACATTCACAAAAACAACAACTGTCTTGAAGCGGTCAAGTGTAAAAAAATACCCATACTGAAATCATGATAGTTTATTGCGTACGCAATAGAACAATCCGACTAGATAAAAACCAATTAAACTTGCAAAATCAAAAGATAAACAAACAAGCAAAAAAAAAATCCCAACAACACAGACCAACTGTGCATTCGGTGATCCGCCATGCACTGTAACTACTTAATAGGGTTCTCTCTGTCATGGGATCTTCAAGCCAGTTGACAAAACCAGGTTTCCAGAGCCTTAGACATCTGGGGTTTTTTTGTGAAACTCCCGAAGTTGTTTCAACTGGGCTGTTCCCAAGATGAATTTTGGGGAAGGCCGGCAATTTTCAAAGGAGAGTCTCTCCTCGTGCGGTGAAATACAAGGAAGGCTCAAGAAGAACAAAGAGATAGAAAGTCATTCCTTGAGAAAACTTGGGTGTGACCCCAAGGAAAATGTTGTTTTTAGCGATTAAATTAGGAGTTTGTGAAAAGCAAACCTATCGCCCACTGAACCGTGGAAAGGAGGTATAAAAGGCTAAGACGTCTCGGAGCAAAGCACCTTGAACATCACATTGCTGGTTAACTGCAGAACTTGGTAAGTTGAGCAGAGGTTCTTGAGAACTTCGGCCAAACGTCTTAGCCATCGCATAGGATTCTAAGGGCATTTTGGGTGGGTTTGTGGATCCATCATGCTTCTAGCGGTCAGGCAACCAAGAATATTGCATGACTTGTATCATAAGTTGGTGTTCTTCCTTGAACCTGGTGTTCGTGTCTTCCTTCCTTTCCATCATTAGCTAAAATTCTTGTTGCTACCTGCAACGCGGCTTCTGATCTTGCAAGTTGCTGGAACACGTTCAGGTTTCGGCTGCAATTAATTTGCTTTCTTGTTGAAAAGCCATAAAAATGGTGGGTTTAAAAAAAATAAAAAAATGGGGCAGCCATGGGGCCCCCAGGCAGAGGGAGGATTAGTTGATCCCAAAGAATCCAAAGTAGATGTTCACATATCTGTTGCAATTTTTTTTTTTCCAGAAGAAGGCTCTTTTCAATAACGTTGAAAGGCTGAGGTGGGTATTTGAGCTGTCTTCTTCTTTAGCTATTTTCTGTTCTTCTTCTCCCCAGGATTTCTCTTAGCTCAACACAATGCACGCTGGACGTCTGCACTCTGGATGGGACCACTGCTATCCCAACTGTTCTCCAATGACCATGACGGTCCACCCACCTCCTTTGACCCTCAGCATCATGACACCGGCTCAATATTCTCCAGGCCATCCTGCCTGTATCAAGCCACACAACCCATGTGCTCCAGTTCACTGTTGGGATGGGAGAAGCCACTACGGTTACCACGGCCTGCCCCACAGTGCAGCTCCCTGTTTTACCACCCCTGCTCTACCTTCTCCAAAGTGTTTGCCTAGAAGCAAGAATGGATATGCTTCTTATCGTACCTACTGAGGCCAGTAATCATGGATGGCAGGCTGAGGAGGACCCATGACCACTATAACAACAAGAATATCGAGATGATGGACCTGGGATCTAACCATGTATGGTCAAGGAGGACAGTTCTTTAATTTGTGCTTGTCTTTTGGGTATCCATCCTCAAATGCCAAGTTAGATCACCCAAGTGAGGAATCTATGGCTCTTCTAGAGATTGTTGAAGCTCAATTCCCAGCTGGCTCGGTCAGTGGTGATGGAGGCTGGGTGTGGTACTTCAACAAGTTCTGGAGATCTTTTGGATGCTCCCTCCAATCCCAAGGAGACTTTTTCTGTTTTAGTGTTTCCTTGTTTGAATTGAGAAGAGATCTCAGAATAAACAGGATGGCTGAGTTCCCACCATATGATTAACCAGAACAGATGAAGACCTAACACATGGACTAACATAACATACTAAACTGAGTTGTTTCTCTTTTTGGGATTGTGTTTGACTTACAGTGTTGGGCCCATCCAGTTTAGATTCTGCAGACCCAGGAAATGTGTTCATTTAATAACCATTTAATTCCCATGTTGTGGGAATGCAGCTGAGACTAGGTTTATATTATTGAAAGACCTTTCAAAGCTACCTTGGCACCATTGATGATCCTGTTTCAGCATCTTGTGGGTCCATCTTTTCTGCATTTGACCTGTCATTTTGTGTCCTCTGTCCTGCCTGTAAACTTGAGCTCCTTAATAAAACCATCTCTTGCATCAGACATGTATGTTTCTCCTTCATTACTTTAAGTCCCAATATATTTACCATCTTCATCACAGTTCTGTGATGAAGTGTAACAGTTTCAAGAATCCTTGGGTCAACACTCCTTGAAGGCAAGATCTCCATAGTCCATCAATAGTTATCACTTTTGGAGGATCAACTAGAATAGGGTTGGTTGACCTGGGTCCTTCAGATGTTATGGAAGCTCAGTCCCGATCAGTCAGTGAATGTTGGGAGGGAAAGGACATATAGTTCTGAAGAACCATGTCTGAAGCTAGCTTTGATCCGGTGGTAAGATGTGTGTATGGAGATACCATCCAAAGAATTAACTTGTCTCACCTAAACATGATTAATTGAGCATATCTAACCACAGACTACAATGCTGAGTGTAGGAACCCAGTTTTTAAAAGCCACATCACGAAGGTTCAGCAGATTGACAAGAAAGCAGTTGTCCTCATCTGGGCTGGAAAAACGAAGAAAATGTTCTTGGGAGCTGAGTCTCATGATAGGCTAGAGAAGAACTCTGACTTTTATGGAGGACATCTCAATTATTACTTGCATTACATCCAATGGGAAACTCCTAGAAGGAATTCAGCCAACATGTTTCCACCTGGAAACACAGGAGATGTTTGTCAGGCCTGCTGAGAGCTGCTTGGCTTCCATGCCAATGCTTTAGAGAAGAAAACAAGGTCATTTTGAACATATAGGACATAGAATAATAGAGTTGGAAGAGAGCCTGGAGGTCTTCTAGACCAATTCCCCTGCCCATGTCAGGAGATCCTATGCCATTCTAAGAGTAAAGGGCTACAGGAGATATCACATAGGTCTTCCCTTGAATATCAACTCATAGTTGAATCAGAAAACAAGGACATTTTGAACGTCTAACCTAAAGAGATCCAGGAGACATAGCATAGGTCTTCCCTTGAAGACTATCTCATGGCTGAGTCAGAAGACAAGGGCATTTTGAACGTCTGAAGCTAAAGAATTACAGGAGACATCATATAGGTCTTCCCTTTGTCGTGGAAAAACTCAATGAAAAAGACAAGAGACAGCAACACAAAAACAATCATTCTTACTTTAAGATTCAGAGGTTTATTTTTCTAATAATTTGGAACATAGCATTGCAATGAGGACCATATGGCACAGCATATTCCAAAGGACAGCTATAGGCCAATGGCCCTGAGCTAGACCTAAGCCAACATTTTTATACCTTTCTTCTAACAACCACCCATAGACAATCATTATCTTGCAAAATCAGTTCCTTGTTCTTTTGTGCTGACCAGCAGTTTCCACATACCAGTGTACATCTGAAACCTCTATCCATCTGTTACTTTCAGTTCCTCTTTTCCCACGGTTACAATACTCATGTTCCAAATATACATAGAACTACTTACTTTGCAATTTCACATTGCACAAAGCTCAGCAGATTACAAATAATATGTCCACATTGTGAAACAATATAGAGTTTGTTTTAAATCACTATTGTGGGACCTTTCTCACGCTTGCTCCAGCCTCATCTTATTATATGAGGAGGGGGCTATATTTTTCATCTCCCACACCTTGAAGACTATCTCATGGTTGAATCAGAAAACAAGGGCATTTTGAACTTCTAAGTGAAAGGGTTACAGGAGTCCAAGCATAGGACTTCTCATGGTTGAATTTTTAAGGAGAATTATTCAACAGTGGATGCGGTAGAGATATTTACAACAGAGACTTGCAAACTTTGGAAATGAGAGACAAAGTCCCCAATTAAAATCTCAAGGAAAGATTTAATTATTATGAGCCAAATGAGGATATTCAATCCTGGATAGATCAGAAATAGTGACTGGGGTGATTTGTGGTAGATAAGAAACCACTGTAGACTTTCTACGAGTAAATAACAAAAACAGATTGTTAACAGAGGGCCTGGAATTTTAACTTTGCTGTTGTTTAACTTGCTCATAATTTTTTTCTTCAGATATACAACGTATGGCAGGTCAAATTGGGTTGCTGATACATGTAGAAGCTTATAAATTTTAAACGTGTTTCCCAAGCTATTATTATTGCAATACGTCTATCAGTGTTCAGCCGAGAGAGGGGATAATATGCCTTTTAATTTTTTGTCCTTTTAATTCACATTTTATGAATGTTCTTGCCTAGTTCTTGTTTTGTCTTTGTTAATTTTGGAGAACCATCATTAAAAAAACAGGGAGATTCAGATAACCATCAACCAGAGACAGGAAGTTTGAATGCAATAAAGATTTTATTGGGTGGGGGGGAAAGCAGAGCTAATATTCCAGACGTCAGTTTTACAGCAAAGAAAGCAGTCCCATCAAAACCACGCAAGCATGAAACCCAATTCCCTCCAGGGTGAGTGAAGAATCTTTGGAGAGCCCAAATGCAGATGCATCCCAGATCTAAAGGAATGGCGTTCCCCAACTTGAAGTCCTTCAGAAAATGCCATGGGGAAGAGCAATTTCTAAGGACAGCATGTGGAGGTTCTGATCTTCTTGTGAAATCTTTCAGCCATCAAGATGTTCTTCGTTGGTTCTTGGTGATCTGTTTTTTCTCTTAAGCTGGTCCATCCTTTGTCTTGTTCCTGGGGTGTAGAACATCAACGCTTAGAATCGTTGGTGATGTTGCTGCTGCTGTTGCTGTTGCTGGGACTTCTGAGAATAAATGCTGGCTGCACTGCTCCCACTTGAGGGGAGGGATAAAGGCCCACGAAAGGGAAGAGGAACACAAGGGTTGCACTGCTCAATGCAAAGAGGCTGGTCTGGACAGTGAAGAGAAGGTCCTGGGATACTGAGGCAGAAGGGGGGTGGCTGGATGGTCACGGTGGTGGGAGGGCAGTTGAAAGAGCATAGGTCCCATCTGGAGGCCATCTTGGTCCAAAGGAGTGGGTGGATCTACAGGCAAGAATCAAGAGAAAAAGGAGGGTGCAAAGCTTAATAAAATTGAGCTACCTCAAGGCTTTCTGATCTATTTTCCAACACTTGTTTTAAGAATCTCTGATGCAGAGAACATTTTGGGCAAAGAATGAAACATAGTCTGCATAGACCTTAGTAAAATCGTGGTAGGAATCCATAAAAACGTGATTGGAAAGGAAGGTCTTCTCTTTCAATTCCCTGCCCAGATGGGACTCCTCAAACCATCTCAGACTTTGCTTGAAAACCTCCTTCGGGGATTCTGAGGGAAAGTCCACACCCTCTTCCCTGTGTCAGCTCAACATTTGCTTAATTAAACCATCCTTGTTTAATTCAAACATATAAATATTTATGCCGTTGAAGAGCTTGGATAATTCATCATTCTCTCTGATGCAAACAGTTTGTAGAAAAACACAAGACTTCATAAAATTACCGCTGGCAGATTAAGTGGGGTTGATATTTGACAGTTGGGTGCTGAAGCTAAGATGGTCCTCATTGAGAAAGCTGGAACCCACCCAATCATCTCAGGTTTGACCTTGGTACTCAAAGTTAGGGAGATCACTTTTTGGGGGGGTCGGTCTTTAGCCCACCAGCGAGAAAAGTCAAGATTTGAGGCTAAGACATTCTAACTCCGTTCCCAAAGATTATTCTTGCAAGAAGTAAACTATTCAGATGGCTGTGCCAAGAAACATCAAAGCCAGCAGCTTCACACAAGTTAAAACATCTCACTGTCTTACTTACCAGGTGATGCGATGGAAACAAGACTGAGTTCTCTCGGTGCTGGAGGAATCTGATGCTGAACTGTGGATCTCCTGGGTCTTTTATACAGCTGAAGAAGGGGTGATGCATTTGATTTTTTCCAAGGCTCTAATTAATTGCTCACCATGTTCCTTTTGTCCTATTTGTAACACCCAAGCAGTTTCAACGGTGATTTCACTCTTCTTAAGCCTCCTTCCTCATTGTTGATGCTTCAACCCATAGGTGGGGTCCCTCCAGACAGACATTGAGATGGGGTGAGGCTTTCCAAAGAAGTATTAGCCATTCATGATTGAGATTGCCCATAGATTTCACCAGAAACAAGGCTGGAGAACATGATTGATGGAAGAGCAGAAGAAACGTAGAACATAGAATAATAGAGTTGGAAGGGACCTTGGAGGTCTTCTTGTGCAACCCCCTGCTTGAGCAGGAGACTTTCTACCATTTCAGACAAACAGTTATCCAGTCTGTCTTCGAAAGCCTCCAGTGATGGAGCACCCACAACTTCCGAACGCAAGCTGTCCCATGGGTTGATTGCTATCAACCTTAGGAAATGTCTCCTTCGTTCCATGCTGCTTCTCTTCTCTCCTTGCTTAGTTTCCATCCATTGTTTCTCGTCTTGCCTTTTGGTGCTTTGGAAAATAGTTTTTCAGACCCCCTCATCTTTGTAGGAGCCCCTCAAATAAGGAAAATCAAGAGACATTTGTGATCTTCTGAGACTCAAAACCTTCTCCATTAGATCCTAGAACTCAAATTTGGGCACAGTTGGTTCCTTTTAGGCTAGCCTAAAGTTAGTCTTTCATTAGGCCACCAATAAAGTTTGAAATTCATGAATCCACACATCCTCTTCCTTTAAAGTTGACCCCAAACTAGCAATCGTTCCTATATTTTGCTCAATTCCGATGTAGCAGGTGGTACTGTGGTTTATGGACCATTCTTTACACTTATGTTCCTAGCTCGTTGTGATATATTCAGATGTCCAAGAGCCATAGCATCTGATGCGGTCCTTGTTGATCCAGGTGACGACCAATCCGGTATGGGATTTTTTTTATTTCTTCTCATCATTAGTGATGAAAGGTGCCTGGGTTGGTTCACGGTGGCTAAGCCACTACTGATCAGGAGATCGGTAATCCCTTAACCATAGGGACCGCCCCCGATAGCCGTCCAGGCCCAGCCACGGGATGATGATGATGATGATGATGATGATTTACAGTACATGCCCATATTTTTAAACAATGGGGAGCAACATTGGCCTTCAAAACCGATGTGACTGAAATAAAACAGTGAACCTGTTAAATACACCCAGTAAGTTAGGAAGGGAGCTGATTCCATTTATGAATTGATTGAATTGATTAAGTTACTTTAACGAAACTGGGCTTTAAAAAAAGAAAAGAAAAGAGAAATAGGAACATTCTGAAATGCTGATTTTTGACTTAAAAAAAAAAACGTAATAAGATCACTCTGAAACTTTTCTGGTCTTTTTTTCTTGAAATTTCTTGAGAGAACATTAGAAAACAAACTTTCTAAATGCTTTTTTTCTCTCTCATGATCATTTAACAATAGAAATATGGAAAATATAAGCGTTTAAACTTGGAAAGTAAAGAGTTTCCACTTGAACAGGGCAGGAATTTTACTTAGGCATCCCATCAAGAGCTTAAAATTAGCGCTGCTCCACTTTTTTACAGCTCCAGGATGAAAAATTTAGGAAGTTCTGCAGCTTGTCTCCTGAACACGTGATTTTTGTAAGTCCTCCTGTCAAACATCACAATTAAACTGCACCCCACTTGGATTGTTATTCCAAGTAAATATCAGCAAATTATACTCAAAATCCGGAAATCCACAACCGGATAGCGAAATTATTTTAGCCATTTTTGAGTCAGTTCTTTCCTTTTTGTTTTGTTTTGTTTTGACACCCCCCAAATTATTTTGGGAACATTTCAGCCAACTTTGGGAGAAGGTAGGCATGAAGATAGACAGTTGCAAGGATCAAAAAATCCTTCCTTGAGAAAACATAGGTGTGACACCGGGGAAAACTGTTGCAATTAATTAAAAGCACAACATCCTTTAGAATAACTGGAAGAATTGTATAAAAACCCCGGGATTTGGGAGAAATAGCATCCAGCATCAAGACACTCCATCTGAATCCACTTCTCTACAGGAGCTGGTAAGTTTTAGAGAGAGATTTTTAATTTGGCTGAAATCCTTCAGCCAACTTTTCCCTGATTGATTCTTGTTCTTGAGGTCCATCCTTCATTGGTTGTCAACTTCAAGACCAGCCTGGTTCTTCAGGGAAAAATAATAATAAAGGTAACCATTTGAAACCGATTTTCTTGGAATGGAGAAATGGACCATAGCTTCATTGTGGTTCTTTTCCATCCTAAATGGTCAGGTTCCTCCTCATGCATTCAAAGGCCTACTTGACTTAAAGAAACATCATCCATTTTGCATGTTCTCTTCTCCACTATTTAGTGTGAAGGCACCTTGGGTGGAGAATTACTTCCCCAAGGTCAAAAGCTTCAAGACTTGGTCTGCTTTGAACCTCATTTTGGAAGCTACTGAGAAGTCCTTCAAGAGCCATGTTAGTTGAGTAGAATGTAGATGTGGTTCAGGTTCAGGAAGAAAAGTCACATGTGATGGAGAGAAGGAGGGCACGGGTGCATTAAAAACAGCTCTGGTGGATTTCCAGAAGTTAATCAAGGACTCCGTTGACGTCCTCCCATAGCCGCCTTCTTAGCAATTCCACGCAAATATATCTGATGCTATCCATATGCAAGGCCCTACTCAATCACATCCTTGTGTTTTAATTCCCAACTGCTTCTTAACAGCTCAACAGTCCTAGATGCCCTGCAGGGAGAAAGCCAGGATGCTAATCTGAAGTAATCCAATTATATTCATATATGTATGTATGTATCTATGTGGGATGCTATCTCTCAGCTCTTCCTTCTGTTGTCTTCCCATAGATCCACACCCCTTCTCATCAACCATGTCTTACGGATGGAATCACTGCTACCCCAACTGCACCCCAGTGACTGTCACTCTGCAGCCACCTCCATTCACCATGAACATCCCCAGCACTTCCCTCTGTTGCCCTGAGCAATATGTCTGTGTGGACCCCTGCAGACCTTGCTCTCCCTCTGTGTGTTCTCCTGTGGCCTGCTCGCCCACAGTGTGTGCTCCTTCCGTGTGTGCTCCTTCCATGTGTGCTCCTTCCATGTGTGCTCCTTCGGTCTGTGGTCCATCATCATGCGGTCCAGCACCATGTGGTCCTGCTTCTTGTAGTCCTGCATCCTATGGTCCGATGGTGTGCGGCCCGGGACTCAACCGCAACAGATTCAGCTCCTGTTATACTTCCTGCAGCCTTCCTTCTCGGAAATGCCTCCCCAGAGTCCAAAGCATCTGTGATCCTTGCACCAAATACTAAGATGGCACCAGATGGGCTAGAACAAAGACCGTCCCCCCACCTCTCTTCACATCAACTGCCCTTGTGGATGTCGGCTCTTGACGGCTTCCTCTCTCAAGTTGACTTCTTCATCTTCTTGCAAGCTTTCGCTTTGTTTCTTGGTTGGTGGTTTAACTCTTTGATCCCTTCTGTGCTTGCTGAAATCAAACTGTGGAAAAATTATACATGCTTTGCTTCTCATCCCAAATAAAACCTAATGGCATTGAAAAAAATATATCATGGTTTCCTGCTCTGATGACTTTGTGTTATTAACTTTCTCCTGAATTGAATGGGTCCCCAATGGTGAAATAACCAAGTAGTTGAGATGTGGGAATCATGTTCCTTCTACCCTGACTGATCAGACTGGATTACGTCCAGATTTGGTTGTGCAATACAAGAAGGATGTTCCAGTGAGGAACATCACTGAAGGCTTTCAAGCAAAGGTTGAAGAACCATTTGTCTGGGATGACCTGGGGATTCTTGCCCTGAGCAGGACATCAGACCTCCAAGATCTTTTCCAGTTCCATGGTTCTCCACTCCACAGGGTCTTCCTGTTAGCAAAAGGAAAACACAAATGGGTTTTGGAAGTTGGACAATTGAAGACCAAGACAGGGAATTCCGTTGCAGCTTCAAGGCCTCAAAGTTATTTTTATTGGGTGTGCACAAGAAAGGAATCTCCACTGAATTATACCCCACACCGGGACACCTTATTAAAACCCTGCCCTCCCCCCCAAATATAAATATATATATATATATTGAAAAAAATCCCTCATATTTATACTGGACAAAGACCTCAAGGTCTTATACCATTTTTGTGTATCCACCATTTTTAAGTCATCAAGTGATCCCAATCCATAATTTCTTCATTAAACCACACTGAAGGAAGACATAGCTTTATGTAGTATGTGCCCACCCCTGTTTTGTTTTATCTATACAAATGTCCACATATAGAACCATAAGTGCCATATAACAGAATAACAGAATTGGAAGGGGCCTTGGAGGTCTTCTAGTCCAACCCCCCTGCTCAGGCAAGAGACCCTATACCATTTCAGACAAATGGCTGTCTAATCTCTTCTTAAAAGACTCCAGGGATGAAGCACCTACAATTTCTAGATGCAAGTCGTTCCCCTGATTAATTATTCCCACTGTCAGGAAATTCCTCCTTCATTCTAGGTTCTCTCCTTGATTGGTTTCCATCCATTGCTTCTTTTCCTGCCTTCTGGTGCTTTGGAGAATAGGTTGACCCCCCCCCCTTCTTTGTGGTAGCCCCTGAGATATTGGAACTGTGCTACGATGTCACCCTTAGTCCTCCTTTTCACTAGACCTACCCCATCCCTGCAACCGTTCTTCATGTGTTTTAGTCTCCAGCCCCCTGATCATCTTTGTTGCTCTTCTCTGCACTCTTTCCAGAGTCTCAACATCTTTCTTTGTAGCAATAGCACTTAGACTTATATACCACTTCACAGTGCTTTACAGCCCTCTCAATGATTTGCAGAGTCAGCCTATTGCCCCCAAGAATCTGGGTCCTCATTTTACTGAGCCTGGAAGGACGGAAGGCTGAGTCAATCTTGAGCTGGTCAGGGTCGAACTGTCAAATTGC